TATATATATATATATATATATATATATTGTTTTTACATTTAAAACAGTGCAGCACCGCAAAGTGGAAGTGACCATACAATCACATTATATATAAATAATCTCATACAGTAACTGTTAGCCTACTTAATACACTATCTATCCTTCTATCCAATCACATTATTTACAGTTTGTTCCAGTCTTGTCACCTTGTCATATACCAATAATAGAATCTGTTCCAGACTTCAAAATATTCAGATTCCCCTTTATTTTTTTGTTCAAGGGGGAGCCTTGAACTATTTTTTCTTATATCTAACTCTGATGGTGTATTTTCTTTTTTCCAATACTGCGCATAAGTTGTATGCGCCACAGTTAGTACATGTATAATTAGATTAAGCGCATCTTTCTTATACCCCTCCGGTATTATGCCTAGGAGAAAGATTTCTGGTTTGAAAAAATTTGATCTCCCACCATTTGTTCCAACCATGAAACCATTTTCCAGTATATTTTTGCCTCATTGTATGTCTACCACATATGATAAAAAGTGCCTGGTGGGTTTTTGCACTTCCAACCATTTAGGGCTAAATTTTTAAACATTTTGGAGAGCCGTGCTGGGGGAAGATGCCATCTGCAGATTTTCTTTATAAGCCGTGGCCATTGTTAGTTTCCAATTAAGTATCCAAAGTTTTTCCCATTTAGTCAAATCCACATTATAACCAAAAATTTTCACCCAGGCAACCATAGTTTCTTTGACATGTTCTTCCTTAAGTTTATATTCCAGCAAAAATCTATACAGCAGTTTGATCACCCTGTCTTCTGTCACTATCCCAAGTTTATCTAATATTGTGTAATCTTTGGCAATACCTTCCTTTTTCCTATCCTGTGCAAACCTGGATTGTACCTATAAATAAGACCACCATTTTAGTTGTACCCCTTGTGATGCCAATTCGATCTAGTTTTTAATCTCCTCTGTCTGTTCAATAACTCTTTGTATGTAACAATTTTTTCCATGTTAATTAAATTTGGATGTATGTATGCTTCCATTGTAGACAGCCAAATGGGTATTTCAATGTAGTGGTCGTGTTTAATTTTGTTCCAAAGTAATAACAGGGGCTGTCTGATGTAGTGTCTATAAAAATATTTATGTGCAGATCCTTTTTCATACCATAGGAAGGCATGC